AATGTTAGCATCACGCGTAATGTTAGCATCACGCGTAATGTTAGCATTACACATTACCCGCGTGATGCATCGCTTGGAAACAGTACGCGCGTGATGCATTACCCGAAACATTACCCGCGTGATATTACCTGAAACAGTACACGTGATGCTTATATTACGCGTGATGCTTAGAACATCACGGAGTGATGTTTGTTTAATACTATTATGCGAAATGCAATGTAAATGCATCTAATTTGGAATATTGCAGTAGAACGATGTTTGTATTAATACCCCAATTATTTCATAATTTACTAAATGGTGTAAAAGGATGGAACCGTAGACAATTTAAAATGAAATTGCATAATTTGTTAATCAGTGCTTGTGCTTGGTTAAATATATTTCGATCTTTCTTGGTAATCTAGAAGGAGATGGATACGCTTTCATACAATCAATCCAAGATGTAAAAACATGAAGGTGGTATCAGTTAATTGCGTAGGTATTGATGTACCATCACTGAAAATTCTGCGAATTGAACTGAAAGCAGAGCTATAAGAGATTTAGTAAAAGTGAGGTTATGTAACAACTTATAATTAACGTCTGATTTTTGGAGTGCATTTGTTATTTTACAACTTACTAGATGGTGTAAACGAATTAAACAGTAGACATTTAAAATGAAATTGCATAACTTGTTAATCATTGCTTGATTACGTGGCAATTTATAATGTAAAATTTAACCAGGGTGAGTGTGGGTTGCCAGACGGTTCGTAATATTTCGTAATTTTTGTTTGATTCTCTCTAGTAATATGTAAGTAGATCTTGTTTATAATGCAAGTTTATGTTCTAGAAACGCGTTTTATAGGTTGTTTTAAAACGCATCGCTTTTTTAACCGACTTCAAAAAAAGGAGGAGGTTGTCAATTAGTCGGTGTTTTTTTTTTTTTTAGGTTGTGTGTGTTACACTGTATGATGTTGTGGGTAATTAGTAATAGTGATATCACAGAGTAATATTACTTTTACAGAAATGTGATGTGATATGACATTACTTTTCGAGGTACTGTTTTGCGCACGTCTAATGTGTATTGAAACATAGCAACCGTTACGCGTTTAGTATAGATTAGTAGGGGTGCACAAATTTTATTAAAGATATTTTAGTTTCGACCTTTCAGTCTCTCAGTCAGTGTGGAAACTTATTTTAGGTTTATCTTGTTAGCCACTGAAGTCTTTTATTTGAACTAGATTTTTTTTTAGAAATAATTATATTTAAATACACTTGCACACATTATTATTTGCACACACTTATATACATTGTTATTTTAGTGTCCACATTACTTAACGATGTAAACGAACCAGACACAGTATATTGGGCACGTTGACATTTAATTTGAGCTTTATATTTCTGAACGATTATACGGCGAACGAATCAAAAAGTCAAACTATTCTTTAGGTTTGTTTTAGTTGTTGGTACTTTTTCTATTATTGACATTATAGCCAGAAATACTTTGCGAGGTAGCACTGTTGTTGTAGTGTAATTTATGATCTTTTATTATTTTTTATTCTTTAATACGATGCCATACTGGAAATTATGAGATAAATAAAGTTATACAAGACACTAGGTTTACAAAATGTCGTCTCAGTCTAACGAAGGAGCGAAGAAATCAAGCGAAACAGATGTATCCTCCAACAATGGACATAGCTCCCAGTCTGAATCCCAAAAGCCGGGTGATTACGCAGAGAAGAAATCAAATAAAACCTCTGGAGAATCTCAAGTAACATGTTACTGGTTGGTATTATAAAAAAAAATGTTTACACTATGAACATATAAAATGCCCTAAATGTTTTCTTGTATTAACCCTCTTGGTAATTTTAGCGGGAAAGACAGAAACCTGAACATTGTGGAGCTACTATGTGCCTCATGCAATCGGTGGTTCCATGAGTCATGTATTGGGTACCAGTTGGGGAAATTGGTCCCATTCATGACTAATTATTTGTTTATTTGCAAAAACTGTTCACCAACTGGTTTGGAAACTTTTAAGAAAAATCAAGCTCGTGAGTAGTATTATTTAATCATTAACCACTGTTATTCACTGGTTTTTTTTATCACTAATGTTTGTTTCTAAAGTTCTGTAATGTTAATTGGTGTGGCAAATAGCTGTCGTATAGTTTAATTCTGCTAATGTAAGCAGTAATTCAATTTCCACACTCGACATTACAAATGCAGTTATTGCAGCACAATGTAAGCACTACTTATATGTCTTTATGTTGTAGAGTCCATTTTATACAATTTCATTAATAGCAATCAACGGCATATAGAACACAGAACTTTGTTACTTTCTCGAAAATGATATTTATGTAATTTTTTATTGAGGTGCCACTTATTAAATTATTATATACTTTATTTTTGACATTCTCTTGACCATTGTTATGTATAAATAAACTTTGTAGTTCTTTAATTTTCCAGCTTTCCCACAGATGTGCTTAACAGGAATTGCAAATCTGCGGCAAGAGAGTATCAAAGATGGGAGTAACAAACTCCTTTTCAGCAAAGACAGGGAGATCATACCTTACATTGATCAGTACTGGGAAGCTATGACAACCATGCCGCGGAGGTAAGTATGTGCTTTTGTTTAAGCCTTGTGCACCATACAGTTATACAGTACTGTATGTGTATACCATACCGTTATACTATAGATGTAGCATATAGATGATTTTATTTTAAGACCTCATATTCAAGTCTTTCAGCTGAAATATTAGGGATAATAACTAGGGATCGGAATAGGTAGAGTTTTTTTGAAGAACATAGACAGAAAATGGAGACTGCCTAATGGCAATATTTTTTAGGTCCAGACCTTTTTGGGATTCGGGAAAACACTTAAGAATATTAAAAATTGACGTAATTGGGCACAGGTAGGTACACTATATTTATCTTAACTTTGCTACGCACAGTGGATCGGATCTGCGATATTGCAGACATTGGATTTTTTTTCACAATTCCTCTTTAAAAAAAATGCCAATCGAATTTTATTGTTGTAATTAAATATTGTCATATCACATTTTGCCATAAATATAATACTTTAGTAGTAAAAAAATAAAATATGTATTTTTTGGATGGGACCATGCCTTTAGTGCCCCATTGTCACAAAGTTTTAGTCAATCCAGTCTTGGAATCACTACTGACGTATTATTAGACCTATCTTCTATAGATATGCATACTTTATTTTCTTATCTTACTTACTTACTTTTACTTTATTATCTTATCTTTATCTTATACTAAACGCGCGCCCAAACCTACCTATACGCCTATATTCACTGCTTATACGCGTCAGAAAATAATAATAATAATAATAATAAAAATGGCTAAAATTGCTCATAAATACGATTATTGGTTCAATACTTTAATTAGCAGTGATCGTAATAGGTTTTTTCGAGGAACATAGACAGGAAATGGAGACTGCCTTACAAAAAAAATACTTTTTCTTTTTTAGGTCCTGGATTTTTTCGAGATTCGGGAAATTACTTAAGTGCATTCAAATTTACTTTATTTAGGATAGGTAGGTTAGACTATATTTATCCTAACTGTGCGATGAATCGTTGCAACATCAATTTTTCACAATATTTAGGAAAATTCCTACAAAAAGAAATTCATAATTTTTTTTTTTCTAAAAGTATACATTTTACAAAAGACTATACTGGAAACAGTTGCTTAATACATTTAATTAGAGTTAATAAGATTTGTATTACTAACATTCTGTTTTATGGACCTTCCTGCAGAATCCTAAAACTATCGCAACGAGTCTTCGTATTCCAGGTATACGTTTTAACTTTCTGACTCGATTTTCATGTCAAAATCAGAAAACTTCTGCATGCTTAACATACTTTGTCTGCTATTTTTTTTTTAAATAAAAACGGGTGCGACATATAAACAATAGTAGAATAGTAGAGTAGAAAATAGTAGTAAACAAGAGAAGATTGAGTAAATTTACCTAAACTCCAAAGAAGGCGTACACGTAGAGTGGATAATACCGCACTCTGTAATACCGAAATGATAATCACAATATTTCATCCCGGAACTTCAGACATCACGAATTATTTATTGGACTTTGAATGTATTGATAACAAATAATTGTATCGAAGAATCTTATTACAGTTTTTAGGGTTCTTAACTAAAACTGTTTTAAATTAAAGTCTTTTGCTTCCATATAGGAAAATAAAACTAAATTGGTTGTTTTTAACAAATAAACGCGTATTTGTTTCAGTAGGAAATTAAAACTTCTTTTTCGAATTCATACTGATGTTTTGTTATTAAAGATGTTATGTTTTTCAGATAATTACTGTAGTGATTCCAAAACTGGATCGATTAAAACTTCGTAACGAATGGGAACTAAAAGTGTGGTCCCATACAAAAAATACACATTTTTTTTTTTCTACTAAACTATTAGATTTATGGCGAAATGTGATATGACAATATTTAATTAGGACAATAGGATCTCTCGATTGGCATTTTTTTAGAGAGGTATCGTGAAAAAAATTCAATGTCCGCAATATTGCTGATCCGACCAACTGTGTCGCAAAGTTAAGATAAATATAGTGTACCTGCCTGTCCCCAATTACGTCAATTTCTAATGTACTTAAGCGACTTCCCGAATCCCGAACAGGTCCAGGACCTAAAAAATGTTGTCGTAAGGCTGTCTCCATTTTCTGTCTATGTTCCTCGAAGTTTAGGTAGAAAACTCTACCTGTTCCGATCCCTGATAATAATCATAGAAAGTAATATAAAATAGCAATAGTATTAGTATAGTATTAGAACAAAATTATTAAAAAAAAAATCTATAACATTTATGATGAATTTGAAATCAGCATGGTGTTTTACCCACTTATTGTTTTGGTGAGTAAATAGTTATTAGACCTGTTTTTTAGGCAATAAATTTACTGCATTGACTAATTTACTTAGGCAGAGTTTTCACAAGTTAGTAATAATTGGTATGAGAAGTGAAATGATGAAATTCTTGTCCCTTAATGGGCACCAATACTCAGTACCGGGCAAGCATATGCTACAACATAAATGATTTTAAGAGAATCCTTCAGTTCCTTAATACTGTTTCCATTCACAAGTTTTACCTAATTTGGAGACCAGTCTCCCATTATCATTGTTATTATCTATATTTAACTGCTATTGTAATATTTGTAAGCTAGGTACTGGGAGAAATAAATAAATTTATTAATATGTTATATTATTAACGCTATTAAAAGTGTTGGTCTTGGCATCAAAATTTAGTAAGTGATGATCACAATAGGTCAATAGCTGTCACAACATTGAAGAATTGCACAGTCACACAATACATAGCCTTATATAGCATTATAATATGAAATGCTATACTACATATTTTTTATACTGCATTAGACCTCAGAGTAAAACCATTTCTATTGTTGATTATGCTGCTACATATGGCTGATTGACATCCTAGTATTTAAAAGAGAGTATAAAGACAGTGGTGCATCTTCTATGTCATTGTTGTTCTTTGATTTACAAGTATACCTCAATATACAAGAATATATCTCAGCTAGGTGAGATAAAACAATCTGCATTAAAATATCCTTATGTTGGTTTTATTTATTCTATTGATTAGGTATCATGATATTTTTACTACCATTTTTTTTTTGTGAAAATACTCCACTATAGTCCATTTGTTTAGGTACTTAACTAACTGTAAACAATCTTGATACATCTTTTTATTAAAACATATACTTTACAAATCAATAGGTTTAAAAATAGGCATGCAATTTCATATGAAGCTAAGTATTTGTATTTTATATTTGTAGGTAAGTAAAAAGCATTTTATAAATGTATATTTCATTTAATAGATATCTAAAGATTGTTTACATTTAGTTAGTACCTAAACAAATGGAGTAATAGTTTGTTATTATTGGTACAAAGATCGAAAAAAACAGAAAAATTCCCTTATCATCACCATTGGCTTTGTTCCAACTGCTGGCGACAAACGGGAAAAAAATCCCATGTCACCAGGTGGTGACAAACGGGATAAAAAAATGTAGCCAATGGTGATTCCCACTGGCGACAAATACCATCGATCCGAGTAGACTCGAACCAGCATTTGATGCCTCATCGTGGTTACAGAGTTCTGTCGGATCGAGGGAATTTATCTTCGTGTTTGTTCAATCATTGTATAAATAATATGTTGGTTTTTACCAAATATTAATACTGACCAATAGACTAAGACCATTATCTCGGTTTTCAAACAAGTGGTTTTGATTCAAATTAAAGGGACTTTTAAATTGAAATCCCATTCTAGTCAATGGATCTTGATATTTTACCTGCTATTTTTAATGTTAAAAATAATGGTAATAATCTCGGAAGAATTATGTGGTCTGTGGTAATAATGGTAAAATTAGTATTTTTTAAAAGAGGTTTTATTGAGGTTATTTAGCGTACTTTTTCGCTTTTTCAATAATTTCATGTCATGTTTACTTCCGCTCTATAGAAAAATAATTTAAAAGGAAAAGAGAATGAGAGCAATTCAAGGCTGAAGATATACATTTACTATATTATAACATTAATAAACTAGGCATAAGTGCTTATACTTTGAAGGTAATGTAATAAAAGCATTTTTATTATATTTTAAACACTAAACTCTTGATTATTTGTACGATGTTAGTGGGATATACACGATATACACAACGATTTTTATCTTTGGGGGAAAATTACCACATGCAAAGATTTCAAATAGATATCGATGCATATCGATGACTAAGAGTTCGTATGTCAGCGAAAAGAACTGTTCATAAGGGTATTTGTGACCTAGGGACATTGTTTAAGATATTGAAGGACACCACCAGAGGGATACAATAGTACTGACTGCATATTTACTGTTTAATATGTTAGTATCTGCGACTTGTCTCATCTATCGCTGTCTAAGCAACACGATCTCTGGAAGGAGATTGAATAATATTATTTTATTTTAGTATATATAGCTTGATATTAAAATCGCAGAATAATATTAAAGTCAATGGGTTTCTCGTTACTTGCTGAGGAGCACCTAGGGTATTTTTGTGCGTAAATCTATTGAAAATGATGATAAAGGAAGAAGTGTAATGAGTTATCTTCATGTAATCTTATACGACGTGACGTTTTATTAAATAACTGATCGGTAGAAAGTGGAAGACAAGCGCGGATGAGGACGACCGAAAATAATTTACTCAAAACAATAGGGGGTCGGCATCTAATAAGGAGGAAAAAGGACAAAGAAAAAGTTTGCAGAGTACAGAATTTTGTTAAGGTCAACCAACACTTACGTGATGGTCTGGATTTTCAGAGTAACACAATCGTGGTACGCGACAGTGCAACGGGCACTGATAAAAGACATCCAAGTCCTTTTCACGTACGAGGAAGACGCAAGTCAAGGCCCCATGTTTGGATTGTACAATTTGGAGCTAACGGCCATTAAACCCAATTATGAAGCTATGATCAAACAGGGACAGCTCAAGGTCACCGATATGGGGATTGCTACAAGTAAGTTTGATATTTTGTACGCATTTTTGTTTTGAAGTATGTTTGTCTTTAAGGTTTTACACATTTTCCTTTTATAATCATGTTCTGTCCCACTGCTGGGCAAAGGCGTCCTCCCTCTTTTTCCACGGTTCTCGGTCTTGGGCAACATCTCGCCGGCCTTTTAACTTAAGTCATCCCTGCACAATGCAGCCGCTTTTTGTAGTAATTTTATAAAATAGGTTGCTAAGTTACTGCTGGACTCTAAAATTGTGGGGCTATCACTGGAATCCGCAACCAAAGCGAGGGTCAAATGTAAAAACTTTACATACATAAGGATGATTTTAGCAAAGTATTGATTCCTTTAAGTGACCTAATACAGTGTGTCCTAACATGCGTAATTGTTTATG